GCACTCACTGCTTAGTTTAACAACACGATTGGCCGCTTATCTCAGCGGGGATATTACATGAAAGTTGATGGCCCTGAGCCAGTGGTGGAAATTCAAAATTTAGGGCCAGAAAGTCCACATGATGGATCAATGTGGACCTTGAATTATCAAAACTCTTTTTTTTTTGCAAAAAAAAATGGCCTCAGGTTCCAATTTGCCTTTTAAATATGACAAATTAGTGCGAGGTCGAATTAAACCTGCCCTGCATGAACCCGCAGCCAACCCCAGGGCGAAGATTCCAAACGGCACCGGGATTTTGGTTGATCACTCTGCGCGGTGATACCTCGAGCAATTTAAACACATCCGTGGCTGCTGCTCGCGAGGCTATAAGCTGATCGTGGCAAAGAAATATATTCAGTGGATTTTCCTACCCTCCGAACATTATGGTAATCGGAAAGTGACTTTACAGACCGTGCCGTCTTACAGTCTACGTATTAGGCCAAGTGTAGATTGAATTTGTTACATTAAAATTATTTTGAGTTTTACCTTTGTATAAAACGTTACCAGATTTTAGCGCAATTGTCTGTGGCAATAACATGATTTTTTTCCCTTCTACGTGACTTTACCGAAAGAACCAAGAATATGAATCCCTGCAGTCACGAAAGCTTTAAATCAAAAATGACAGTATCTGTTTACGATGTTCCACATTGCTAAACTGTTTATTGTATTCACAAATAAATGGCCAATAGATAAAAAACCCACAACACTGAGCATTAATTGCATTTTAATGAGAAAACGTATTGAAGCTGATCAAAGTTGTCTGCAAGGTAAATGCTTTGTGACTCCAGACGACATGTTGATTATTAAAGTGCCACGTAGCTCGTTTTACATCACCTTAACGTGAATCTGTTGCGCAATTCTGGTTTACTTAAAAAATAATTGATTCTCTATACCTATTGCACAAGTGCAATTAATTCAATGTTATTTTCATCTCTTTTTATTACCTGTTGTGTGCACAATTACAAATGCTAAATATTTCACCAAATTCTTGGATCATTACCGGAGGCATATTTTGACAAAACGAAAGGCATTCAGGGCAGTGGGGGATTAAATTAAAACATGTTAATGAAAGGCATTCTCCTGGAAAACTATAGTAACATAATTTTCATGACCTTTAAAAAGGAACTGATCTCAATTAGATGATCTCTTATATATTGTAGTAACATTTTGGAGGTTTGGTATTAAAGGCATTCATTTTCCCTTTATAACAATATAATTGCCACTTTTAATTATCACTTAATATTGCAGTTTTATAATTAAAATGTGACGGATGCTCTTTTTATTCCTAAATATGTTTTACAAGCAGCCGTAGCTTGACTGAAATGGTGTAATGCAGAGAGCTAAGCCCTCGTACAAAGTACATTGGATTAAAGGTAAGCATTATTTGAGAATCCAGCCTACGCTTTACGCGGCGCCATAAACCGAAAGAAGAGCTTGCGAATCCGACAGTGTGGCCCCACGCCAGTTATCAAGGCAAAGCTTTAACGCTGCAGCTGTTGAGATAGGGTGGCTTAGGTGCAAAAAAAAATGTAATATCACGGCCAAAATGACCCATTACATGGAAGTGGGAGTCTGGGGCCCTTCCACACCACGCGAGTCCCTGACGTCTTGAGCTATTCCTCCTGCAGCGGCAGCAGCAGCAGCAGCAGCAGTTTTCCACTGCTTTCAGAGATATGGGTATTTAAACAAAGCTGAAGGTGGCAAAAAGGACGTGCATAAACATTCGGCCAACCATACATCTTTGGCTTTGTTGGAAAACAACAGCTTTTACTGCCAGACACGTTTACGGTTCTTATTTATCTTATGTCCGTGTCGCGGAGAAGTGTACATTGTAGTCAAAGTGCAAACGTGCCGCCGACCGAGTTGCATTTCTGGATCCAATTCCGTGAGCCGATTTCACCGGCGATGTCACCTCGCACCGCCAGGCCGATCCGCAAGGCCACCCGAATCTAAAGCCACCGTGGCATCAAAGGGGTGCCTTAGCAAACACGAGGAAATGTCAAACATTTGTTTCACAAACTTCCGTCGCTTTCTCGACGAAGTTAAACACGAGAAGAACAGGCGCTGAGCGCCGTTCGCGGACGCTTCCAGACGCGTAGATCACGCGCAATTAATGTTTTATTTGCATTGAATAAAGCGGGGCATTTTAAGGTGAACTTGCCTCCGCAAATGGGAGCATTGAATACAATTTTTATTTGACGGCTTGTCAGCGGCAGGGGGCAGGTAGTCAGTCCCGTTTGTTTATATGCTTTAACATCGAGACTGGCACAAAGTGGACACCTCTTCGACCACTAACACTCACCTGTACACATCACACACTGTAACATCTCTAAGGAAACATGAGCACATACTATAGGACAACGACGAAAAAAAATATCCCTGCATATAGCCTTAATATAGTTTGAGACGGAGGCTTTCGCAACCAATATGAATGTGGCATTAAACCCGCCACCACCCAAAACAGCCAATTAGTAAGGTTTGTGACGTACACAGAGCGTGCCAATTCGTGCCCTAGTAACATGTACTCTTCACGAATTGCATGTACTGGTCATGAAAACATGTACTAGTAATGAAGTGGCACGTTTTGTTCACGTGACAAACCTTACTTACTAGCTGTGTCGGGTGGTGGCGGGGTTTAACGACGCATTTATATTCATGTGATCGAACCCAATTAGCTCTACAATTAAACCTTAACACACTGAGTGGCCGAAGTGCTGTTAGCGAGCACCTACGAAGGCCGGCATGGCTAACGAGGGGGTGGGTGGCCAGCACCACGCCCGGCCACCTTTGTCTCCTAAGTGTCCACGTTTGACACACTGCACTGGGTACTCATTTGAGGCTGAGTCGACCTAGGGGAGGCACAGGACCGGTGCAGATATTCGTGACCGATGTTAGCAGTGAGCAGGAATTGAACTCGGGTTTGAAGAGCAGCGTGCTAACCGCTACACTACCACTCCCAAATACTGCTCCTCAATATGGGGGGGCCTTTGTCTTTATACCGTACATAAAACTCACACACACACACCAGTATCACAAAGACATCTGCGCATATAACCCACAGATGTACATATACATTAGTACACTCATCTGCGTATAACACATGCACACGAACCTACACACATGTCAGCGACATGCATCTATCAAAAACACCGCTGTACGTTAAAAAAAAAAACACCTGAGCCGATCGCGATTGCAATGGTGTCATTCGCAATGAATCACGATCGCAACGAGCCCGTACGTAACGCGCTCGCGTGTACGCGTCCCCCCTGTGCCTTCACGTGGCACGAGTGCAAGTCCAACGCACGTTCACAATTCATTTGCCCCGTGCGCCGTACGCATTTTTTTCTGCCAGCTGACACGTGCACCGCGCACATTCCAATGTCACGGACAGCGGGCGTGCCGGTGTGCGGCAGGCCAGCCGCAAAGTGGACGTGCTGTCCGTGACATTGTAAGCCACTCAGCTGCCATCTCGCAACGGGGTCTAGTGAAGCTTTGGCGGATCGACAAGCCCGGTTCATGAATGCACGCGGCCCTCGCTCACTCGCTGTGTAGGAAGGAGCATGCGCTCTTGCCGAAAGGCACGGCATTATGGTACGCCATCTGTGCCGAAGGCAATCCTTCGGAGTTATGGGTAATAAACGGTGATACGTTTATTTGCATTGCAATATGAATCACTCTCTCCTTTTTTGCGTTAAGTCACAACGGCAGCCTCCCAGCGCGTTATTGATGAATGCGATCCTATCTTTGTTTAATAGGGAAGTGGTCATCTCTTTCTTCGTGCAGCAAAGCGCCTGGTTAGTACGTTAATAATGAAGAGTGTTGTTAATAATTATGCGAGCCGGTACATAACGCGGATGGGGAAATGTTTTATATAATTTATACACGTAAATAAATAATGTGTATAAATGTTTTAACGCATTCATACGACTTGCGTTTCCAGCAAGACTTGCAAACACGGAGATGCATGTTCATGTGCGGGTTACGGCATGCTTGCTGTTATACGTTGTCATTTTAAATAGTTGCTCTTCAGACTTAGCAATATTATGTAAAGTAGTGTTATGGAATCTGTTGTTAATACACGATAGTAGGGGTGTGAGAGCACATGAATTAATCAATATCGTAGTTGTAAGCACACAGTACATGCACTCAGTGGTGTGTAGAATAATCCACGTGTTTCCATTTGTATATGTTGTAGGTAGTGGGGTTTGCATGATCCTCCAGTAGAAGTAGCTACATACACCACAGCATCAAAACAAACCCTTGAATTGCGACAATTCACTGCATCAGCAGGGATAATCGGCATGCACCTCTGGTACAAGCAATGTTGTCAATGTTACCTATAATAGATCAAATGTATTAGTTTTTTCGTTGCAAAATAATAAAAGATAGGAGGAATATATTCAAGACATATTTTTCTCCCCAAAAATGTACTTTAATGGCAGCAGCAGTGAACTCCCAACAAAATGATCTTAAACTAAACTATGAACAAACCATTTGTTTTATTTTACCAAGTAAGACCCACTAAGCTATATAGCTCTTTTCAGAAGCGGCCTGGTTTCAGCCAGATACTGAAATGCGTGTCTCTTCAAGGTGTTCTATCACCTGTAGCCGAAAGGACCTACATGCTCAAGGCTCAAGGAAACATTGGGTTGCGATAATCTCTGTTGGCATTTGTAGACCAGTGCCAGAAGTAGCACATTGTTATGGCAGGAACTAGTCTTTGCGTTCAATTGAAACAAATTCATTTTTTAATTGAACAAGTAGATATGTATGATGGAGTGAACCGCTAACTGGAATCCGCGCCCGCGACTTTGCAATTGAGATTTTTGACGTCTCCGACACGGCGCTAGCGACGAGATCGCTCAGGAGGAAGGTGTCCGTAATTGGTTGTGATAATTAAATGTCTTCGCGTGCGGCGATGTGTGGAGTGAAGTGTATCGCCAAGGCGGGTGCTGTTTCACCGTATTTGACCTTGCAGGACCTTCCGTCGGGCTGCAGGGCGTAGCCCTCCACGCAACCGCACGTAAATGATCCCGCCGTGTTGCGGCAGATCTGGCTGCACGTCCCGTACAGCCCGCACTCATCGAAGTCTGTCGGGCACAGAGGAGGGCGGGCAAAATGTACCGGCGCTTGAGTGCCGTCGCGGAGAAAAGTTGCGGGTTTCAAAACTTGTCAAAAGAGATAATGTCGAAGACACGTGCAAATTGAGCCATCAAGACAAATCAATCGCGCTTTGAAACTCAACTTTCTTGAAATGCCATTTTTTTAATGATGGTAACAAAAGAAAAAAAAATAATAAACAGTGAGATATAAAATATACAGCACAAGCTACGACGATCAACGAAAAGGACCTCGAGAGACACGCGCAGGGTTGAGGAGAGAATTATTCGTCGGAGAAAATGCCCCCGACACACACACGAGGCCGCTCGACAATCTGAATGTAAATGAGAAACGACGATAGAGAGAGGCGTGCGAGACGTCGGCATTTGTCACATTAGGTAATGGCTCAGATGTGCAAGGCAGCAAAAAAGAAAAAGCAAAGCTGCATTTGGGGAAATCCGAGGGGAGCAAGCGGGAGCAACATTCCGGCGGAGAATGTGTGTTTCTGAATGCTAATAGGAACCGCGTATGAAATAAGAAAACAGGTGCCTGGGCCACCGAGGGCATTTGTTAAAACAAAAAAAAGTGCGATGCTTCAAAAAGAGACAGCGGTAAGCGCACCGAGGTGTCTCGTGTAAAGGTTACCTTTGCAGCCCTTTTTATCAGGCATCACTTGCTGGCCGTTCTCACAGTAACACACCGGGCCTTCTCTCGTTACAGCGCACCTGTGCTGGCATCCAATATCCGTGCAGTTCCCCGATAATGCTGTTTCAGTCGCAGGGAAAGGGCGCCAAGGGAGTAAAGGCTCAATGTGATCGCATTGTTATTCTCGTTATATATCTCTCTGCCCGTACAGACAGAACATGTCTACGCAGGCAAAGGGACGCCAAATAATGTCTCAATCACCTTTACGACAACGACACAAACATCCCACGCAAAAAGCATTGACAATGATACAGAAACGGAGCAATTCCGCCAACAAAAAATTCGCGGAATCTGCTGCCCACTTAGCGGCTAAAAGGCCTGCGCGTGTTTCCCTCTAGCGCGTTGCAATTTGTGAGTCATTGGCGTCCTCTGGTTTCGCTCCAGATGCCTCTGGTGCTCTTTGGCGGATCAGGCGTTGCCCTCCGGGGAGTCTTCCCCTAGGCGTCCTCATCCCCCTGCATTGCATTCGACCACGCACAGAGAAGTCAATGGCACACTCCCAATTCAAATAAGGTTTTAAAGCCCGAGGTTGAAAAATACAGACACACTGGAAACGGACAATGGCACTGCGACCGTTTCTTTATGCCAATACAAACGGTATGATGACCGAGTTAAGAATGCAGTCTTATTTATAGCGCATAATATCACGCAAATAAAAGCTTGGAGAAATAATCACACGAGAAAAATGGCTTTCATATAATTCCGTCATTGATATGTCAAATACGAATTATATGTAGGGAGATCAATGGTATTAGACTTTAATAGAAGCATATAAACCTTTTATATAGACATCTCACCAAGAAATAGCTTTCGTGTGAAGGTTATATCTCAACACTGCATTCTATTAACACTTGGAAAGTTGACGAGCAGAAAACAGCTGTCCCGAGAGTTTCACGTGGTTTTGTTATTTTGACAAAGCCGGCCAAGTGGACGCTTGCTCACACGCAAACGTGAACTTTACACGAGTTCACTCCCGTGCACTTTGTGACCCAGGTGATTCTTGCAAATGAGACTGTCCAGGTCTCACGTTCTCTCACACCTGTTAACGCGAAACATAAACTTGACACTTTATATGGGCAGCATGAAAGGTGAGACACCTGGGCTTTTGATGCTACACGTTTCCTGGTTCCACTTTGCCAGCGGCCACGACGATGGATCCCTCCATCAAATCAAATTGGCAGTAACTCTTTTCAGCATCCCCTACTTACGGCAGGTGACCATCATCAATTTGTTGATGAAATTACCAAGCCACCCCGAGGAGACCAGGTTAGACACCGTTGACCCTGTTGAACAGATGCACTTGACACAAACCTTCACTGATGGGACTCAACTGACGCCTACCTCTCTCCGTTTGTGTTGCATTGCGATGGGTTCGTGGTACCTTTGAAGCCACTCGAGGTGCTACCATAGACTACTGTGCAGTGTTTAAAAAAATAACGTATTATTTGATTTAAATTGTGACTCCAGAGATGCGACAATTCGATTGGATTTACCTAAGTGGGGTCGTGGACCCATTCCACTCTTACCAATAACCATATTTGTTCACCAAATACAATCAGTTTGGGAACACAAGCAGATGTAGATACACCATAGGACCCTAGGTATACTGAGAAGTAACCACGATTACTCGTACACATCATGCGACCAATATTATCCATAAGAGGTGTTTTGGGTTAGACCGGGTAAATATATAAATGTGTCGTTAAACCGGCCACCACCCGACACAGCCAACCAGTAAGGTTTGTTACGTAAACAAAAAATGCGAATTCATCTTCTTTGGTTCTTTCGGTAAAGTCACGTAGAATGATAATAAAATAATAAATTGATAAAATAAAATAACACAATAATATTCTCACGACGTTTCGGCCACAACACAAGCGGCCTTCATCAGGTGAAGGGGGGCGAGACTGTCTGGTAGGACAGCGCTGGAGTGAAAGAGCCACGTTCAGATACGGCCTTTAAGCTGTGTGAGAGGAACAAAGCGCCTTGACAAAGGAATTAGCATATAATTTAGCATTGAAATGGCTGAATGATTAGCTTGTGACTGGTCACAGAAATAGCTATGTTAAAAGTTAAAGCATACACACCCGCAGAGGCACCCATTGTTAAAGGGATTAGCATAGAATTTAGCATTGAAATAGCTAAGTTAAGGCATACACATCTTGACAATAGAATTAGCATAGAATTTAGCATTGAGAAAGCTGAGTGATTAGCTTGTACCTGCTGCAGAAATAGAGCTTGTACCTGCTGCAGAAATAGCTACGTTAAAGTCAGAGCATAATGCGAATTCCTTACCAGTACAGCACACCGGTGTGCTGGAGAGCCAAGCCACAACATTTACAATTCGAGTACGACGTTTCACCAGTAATTACAACCAGCATCATCAGGCAACACAACTATGCCTGTTGTGGGTTTATTCTCCAACACACCGGTGTGCTGTACTCGTAACGAATTGACACGTTTTGTTTACCTTACTAATTGGCTGTTGGGTGGTGGCGGGTTTAACGACACATTTATGTTTAAGCGATCTAACCCAAACACCTTTATTATGGATATAATGACTACTTGAGAATACACCGCTGCCCCCATCTATGTAATTATTTAAGCATTATTGAGATCCTGGGTGGGAGTTTTATTTGATTTGGCAGTCACAAAAAGACATATAGCAAGCCCTTTCTCTCTTGTGGGTGATGTCATACTATTATAGTATGTGAATCACATACTTGATGTAAGTGCTAAAATGATATATACATTTCGATTTAAAGCTTTCGTGACTGCAATGATTCATCTTCTTTGGTTCTTTTGGTAAAGTCACGTAGAATGAGAATAAAATAATAAATTGATCAAATAAAATAACACAATAATATTCTCACGACGTTTCGGCCACAACACAAGCGGCCTTCATCAGGTGAAGGGACGAGACTGTCTGCTAGGACAGCGCTGGAGTGAAAGAGCCACGTTCAGATCACGACCTTTAAGCTGTGTGAGAGGAAACAAAGCGCCTTGACAAAGGAATTAGCATATAATTTAGCATTGAAATGGCTGAGTGATTAGCTTGTGACTGGTCACAGAAATAGCTATGTTAAAAGTTAAAGCATACACATCCGCAGAGGCACCTCTTGATAAAGGAATTAGCATAGAATTTAGCATTGAAATAGCTAAGTTAAAGCATACACATCCGCAGAGGCACCCCTTGACAAAGGAATTAGCATAGAATTTAGCATTGAAATAGCTGAGTGATTAGCTTGTAACTGGTCACAGAAATAGCTACGTTAAAGTCAGAGCATACACATTCACCGAGGCACTTAGTACAAATCAAACAGGAGAATTTAGCATTGAAATAACTACGCGAATTTAGCATTGAAATAACTGAGTGATCAGCTAGTGACTGGTCACAGAAATGACTATGCTGAAGTCAAGGCCTACACATCTGAGCTATTCACAGTACTATATAGTGAACCAATAAAAAAACTAAAATATAAATTACCTTAATGTTATCAATAAACTCTATATTCTCCAATCAGCTAAGCTACCAACAATAAGTCGTTATATATCACAATGCTATATGGCGAAATGCCATATAGCATTGTGATATATAACATAGCTATTTCTGTGACCAGTCACAAGCTAATCACTCAGCCATTTCAATGCTAAATTATATGCTAATTCCTTTGTCAAGGCGCTTTGTTTCCTCTCACACATCTTAAAGGTCGTGATCTGAACGTGGCTCTTTCACTCCAGCGCTGTCCTAGCAGACAGTCTCGTCCCTTCACCTGATGAAGGCCGCTTGTGTTGTGGCCGAAACGTCGTGAGAATATTATTGTGTTATTTTATTTGATCAATTTATTATTTTATTCTCATTCTACGTGACTTTACCGAAAGAACCAAAGAAGATGATATATACATGTTTTTAAAAATAGTTTTTGAAGCTCACCAATTGCACATACCATTAACTGGAAGTTGAGTGAATGTGTTCTTGCAATTGGCACGATTACATGTATTTGACCCCCATCAACAGGCAGTGTATGGGGACCTTCGCACGCAAAGCAGCTGCCAAAAGCGACTTTACTGGAGAGCTCCGAAATAGGCCGATGGCTCCAGGAATTTATTTCAATGCCTCTGCAATGATCTCCCAAAGAGACAAGCCCACAATTCTAAACTCTGCAGACTGAGCGAAAGGCCACACCGCAGCAGGTAGTTTGTGGCCACTTTGCAGCCGACAGGGTCATGGGGGAGCTGTGGCTGCACCCCGTGACTAAACCCGATTCGTATGCGGACACCGCTCCAAGAAGGCAAGCGCACGAGACTACAAAAGGTGTCTCCTTGCCTATGTGCAACTCTTATCACCTGCCCAAACTTGAATGAGAATATTTTAAGAATCTATGCTACTCACATTTTCCCTCTGGGGTCTATCAAGTGAGCATAACTTTTTGGGCAAGTCAACATTGGTTGTGCTATGAAAATGCGACTGTCCCAGTGCTGGATGAAGACACCAATATAAATTTGTACTGCCCCAACGCTCCTTTGAGCACGGAGACACTTACTGGACCATAAGGAAAAGGAGATCTAAGTAGCAGTTATATCAATATCAGGCAAAGCACGAATAAGAGTGTACATTACCTTATTCTCTGGATTATAAGATGCCTCGGAAAGTAAAAAAAAGAAGACAAATCTTGTGCTCGATCTAAATAAAGTTACACAAACCTAGTCACACAAATACCAGATGATAATATGCACTGCCACCTATTTCTTTAAAATACAGAGGCAAAACAAAATGTGAGCCTTATCATCCAAAGAATATGGTAAATGTAGCTGACACGTAGAACACGATTGTGTGTGCACTCATTTCCGCATTGAGAAAAAGTCAGTTAATATTTTGGGGCACTCTACGCTGTGACGTATGACGAGATGCACGATAAAGGAAAACAGTCGTACGATTCATGCAACGCTTAAGTGACATCAGTGCCTTTATCCAAAGTATTGATTTCAGTCACTGCAAGACTCAAATACGTGCCACAACAGAAACATTTCCCAGAAAATAAATGTATTTTTTCACGTAA